GACAGACACAGACACACACACACACACACAGACACACACACACACACACACAGACACACACACATATATATGTGTGTGTGTGTGTGTGTGTGTGTACTCGTGTCAATATTTGTGTATATATTGTGTATATATATCGATGCCCGCATCCTCCAACTCTTTTCATATCGCGAATCATGAAGGAATTAAACGCTAATGTAAAATTACACACCCATAATTCGCAAAACAACTTGCGTTGTATTATAAATTAAAAAGATATAGATAGAATCTTGAGCTTGGGTATTAAAAACGCCGAGCATTAAAATAAGACAAATTTAAGATTGTTTTATTATGGTATACACGCCGTTTCCTGTTACTGCGTCCTTGGAATAAAACCAACCAATCGCTGCGCGCGGAGCAGTTGAGCGAGCCAATCAGCTGTCGCTGCGCTGCGCTCTCGAGCCAATCCGCGCTCAGAACGCTGTTCCTGTGAGTCGGGTTTGTTTGGGTTTAAAGAGTCGCCTAGTGATCGCTGAGGAGGACGGAATAAACGCAGGTATTTATTCTCAACACGGCGATGACAAACTCATGCTTGCTTTGATTTGTGTTTAGATTTCTTTGCTGCTCGCCTCAGAGGTGTTTTGTCCGACCACGATGCTGATTTTGTCATGAAATAGCTGCAGTAAAGCTAGCGAATGCTAACCAGCACTAGCTGCTGTCTCTCAGCTTCAGTGGAATTCAGAAACTGTGGTATGTTTATGATTTGTTCAGTGATCAAGAATGATCGTAGAACATGTCTGAATCACGCAATGTCACCTACAAAAGCGTACCATGGTACAGTGATGGTTTCAGATGAAAATACCCTGCTATTGTTCGACTACTACAGTCATGCATCACGGGAAGTAAAATCAGGTATTGTGATCATATCGTCCAAAAACAGCCACAGTTATATTGAACACTAAAAATGAGAATAATGCAAAAAATAAAATATATTGTGTTTATTTAAAATGTTAAAAATGAAAATAATAATGCAACATTTCAATAACATTATATAGTGTATATTTAGTATTTTAAAATTAAAATAATGTTGTAAAATGTGCAATAAAATATATAGTGTTTGTTTAACATTAAAAAAAAAGAAAATAATGCAAAATGTTCAATAAATGTATAGTTTATTTATCATTTAAAAAAAAATGATGTGATGTGCAATAAAATGTATTGTGGTTTTTAACATTTAAAACATGAAAATAATGCAAACTGTGCAATGAAATATATAGTTTTTTAACATTTAAAAAAAAATGCAAAATGTGCAACAGAATAAATAAAAATAAAGTGTGCATTCTGTAATGTTGCAGAAATTTTACACCGGTGGAGTTTTTGTTCGTGAAATGTGATAAACTCACTAGTGCGTCAAACCTCATCTGTTGTCATGTGAGCCTGTGTGTGTGTGTGTGTGTGTGCGAGTGTGTGTGTGTGTGTGCGAGCGTGTGTGTGTGTGTGTGTGTATGTGCGTGCGAGTGTGTGTGCGAGTGTGCGTGAGCATGTGAGCGTGCGAGTATATGAGTGTGTGTGTGTGTGTGTGTGTGTGCGAGTTCGTGTGCGAGAGCGTGTGTGTGAGTGTGTATGTGTATGTGTATGTGTATGTGTATGTGTATGTGTATGTGTATGTGTATGTGTATGTGTATGTGTATGTGTATGTGTATGTGTATGTGTATGTGTATGTGTATGTGTATGTGTATGTGTATGTGTATGTGTATGTGTATGTGTATGTGTATGTGTATGTGTATGTGTATGTGTATGTGTATGTGTATGTGTATGTGTATGTGTATGTGTATGTGTATGTGTGTGTGTGTGTGTGTGTGAGTTCGTGTGCGAGAGCGTGTGTGTGAGTGTGTATGTGTATGTGTATGTGTGTGTTTGTTTGTGTGTGTGTGTGTGTGTGTGTGTGAAGCTGTGCTTGTCTTTCCAGCTAATGCGTGATCATTACAGGATTGGTTACAGGAGCAGGTACGTCAGAGGAGACACAGGATCTGCTGTGGTGGCTTTGACGTGTGTTTAATGGGTCGTGAGCTGAATGCTGATGTTTGGGGTCAGAGGTCACTGACGGATGGTGTGTGTTGTGTTTGTTGTTCAGGAGTGGAGATGAAGAGTCTCAGCGCTGCTTGAACGTCTTTCGGTCATGGAGTTCCGCTTCGGGAGCATGGTGTTCAGCTCGAGCTTCGACTCGGGGAATCTGGCTCGTGTGGAGCGAGTGGAGCGATCCGAACCCAGCGCTTCAGCGCAGCTGCAGCCCGACTACGAGTTCAACGTCTGGACCAAACCCGACTGCGCCAGCACCGAGTTCGAGAACGGCAACCGGTAGATAGATTTATCATCATATTCAGATCTGAGACACTGCTGGATCTGTTCAACATCAGTCAAAATACAATTAAAATCAGTGAGGCATCCTAAAATATTTGGCTGAAAATTAATATATTCATCTATAAATAATGTATTAAGAGTGAATAAAATATGCAATCATTTTTATAGTTAAAAAATGAAAATAATGCAAAATATGCAATAAAATTTATATTATTTATTGAACATTTCAAAAATAAAATAATGCAAAATATGCAATAAAATTTATAATATTTATTGAACATTTCGAAAATAAAAGAATGCAAAATATGCAGTAAAATATATAATATTTATTGAACATTTCAAAAAGAAAATAATGCAAAATATGCAATAAAATTTATAATATTTATTGAACATCTCAAAAATAAAATAATGCAAAATATGCAATAAAATTTATAATATTTATTGAACATCTCAAAAATAAAATAATGCAAAATATGCAATAAAATGTATAATATTTATTGAACATTTCAAAAATAAAATAATGCAAAATATGCAATAAAATATATAATATTTATTGAACATTTCAAAAATAAAATAATGCAAAATGTGCAACATTTGAAATGTTCTGTCATGAAAACAAATTTATGTTAAAGTCACCGTTTAAGTGTTTATATTAAATATTAATTAAATATATTAAATAAATATAAATTTGCAGTGCCATGGGTATTGCTATGTTTTTGAACATGTATTATTTTTGAAAGATCCAAAAACATTGAAACTAGAAATTGCTAAATTTAGTTAAGTTACAGGAAAAGAAAATAAACAGAAAGGTGTTTAACCGTGTTTAAAATATATTAATGTATAAAGTGTGAATAAAAAGCAAAATGTGAAATGAAATATATATAATGTTTATTTAACATAAAAAAATGAAAGTAATGTGCAATAAAATATATATCGTATATGTAACATGAAAACATGTTTTTATTAAAGCCACTGTTTAAATGTTTATATTTCAACAATGAATTGGAGTAGAAACATAATTGTATTTTATTAAGAAGCTGATATATGTCTTTACACAACTCTTTGTGTAATAATTGATTAATAAATAAACTTTTATTTTTGGCTGAATGAAAACTTCAGAGTTTTGGTAGGAAATTAATTGTGTTGCATCACTAGCTTAAATCAACCTCATTGACTTTCTTTGACAGGTTCTTCGTTTATTGCGAGCGATGAATGAGTGCATGTTCCAGAATAAACGGGTGTGATGTTGAATTAAGGACGTGATCTGTGTGTCTGACAGGTCGTGGTTTTACTTCAGCGTTCGCGGGATGTTGCCGGGCAAACTGCTGAAGATCAACATGATGAACATGAACAAACAGAGCAAGCTGTACTCGCAGGGCATGACACCGTTCGTCCGCTCGCTGCCCGTCAGAGCGCGCTGGGAGAGAGTCCGCGACAGACCCACGTTTGAGGTGCAGACACAGCTCGAGAAGAGGCTGTCTTTAAATAATCTGCTGTTGCCATCGAGCTGTGAATAACTCTGTGTGTGTGTGTGTG